AGGATGAGTAAAATGTGGGACAGGTGGGGCCATGGAGAGAATAGGAAACAGAAGTAGGTAGGACCAGGAAAAGAGTAGGAATAGAAGGAGGTAGAACAGGTAGTAAGTGGGACCGAGAAGAAGGTCAACAGATAGGGCCAGAAGGAAATAGGGCATATGGGAGGTAGGACTGAGAAGGTAGGAACAGAGGTGATGTCCCTGCCGAGAAGAGAGGAACTGGGAGGAGGAACAGGTTAGGGCCAGGAAGGTAGAACAGGTAGAAAGGGGCTGGGAGGAAGGCAGGTTGTCTGTGAATCTGATGAGAGTTAGAGGAATTGCAGGATCCCAGCAGGAGCGTGTGAGAGGAAGACCCACCTTAGCTAGGAGTAAGGGTCTCATCCCCAGTGGTAATTAAGCTATGACCTGAAGGAGGCCGAAAGTGGGAGGCAGGGGGCGCTTCAGACAGAGGTGACCACCTGTGCGTGCTTAGAGCTGGGAAAAGGCGTCAGGCATCTACAAGACTAAAAAGTTGGGTGTGTACTCAAGTTAAGGAGTGATGGGCAGAGTGGTGTAGGTGAGGCGTGTGGGTTAGAGGAACCTGGGGAGTTAGTAGGTACCCTGTTATCCTGACCATTGGAGGTCATGAGGTTTTAGATTTTGTCCCTTGTGGTTGGGAAGTAGTTAAAGCTTTAAACAAGAGTGACCATGCCCAGATTAAAACACTCTGGTAGCTGTGAGAATGGATTAGCAAGGCAGGAGCCAAGGTGCAAAAATCAGGAGGGTATTGCCTGTTGGCTTGAGTTTAATGGGTGAATACAAGGCGGGAGAAGGATACAGTTGTTTAATATTTTGGATGTAGAATTGAGATTTGGGTAATACATTGGTTATGAGAGATAAGGGGTGATTTCAAGGCTTTGGGCATGAGATGCTTGGGAGATGACGGTCTGTAAAATGGGATGACAAAGGGTAGAGGAGGAGCAGTTTTGCAGTGGAAAATCAGTATACTCTTTAAGAGTTCAGCTCAGATATTGAGATAGGGATAGAGGAAGAGGGCTCCAGTTTTCCACAATCATTTGTAAGGCACATCATCTGCTGCAGGTGGTCAAGAGTCAGTTGTCCATTGGGTTTGAAGCAGTGACCTTTTTCAGGTCTGTTCTTTTGGGTTTGGGCTCTAGGTGCCAGTATGAACCAGACTGCAGAGACAAGTGTGGCTTCACACCCTTTATGGACGCAATCCAGTGTGGTCATGTTAACGTAGCCAGGCTGCTCCTCACGAAACATAAGGTATATAAATGGCTTGGTTTTATTCCTTTGGTTCTTACAAGTTTTAGATCATAAGACAAGCAGGAGCATAGTTGTTCAGGTCGTGGGTTCAAATTCCAGCTCTGCCACAGGTCCCCTGTGGGGCCCCTTGATCTCTTGAGGCATCAGTGTTCTTGTATGTGAAATGGGGACACATTATTTTCTTCAAAGGGTTAGTGTGTAAAGATTAAGTGGTATAATGTATATAAAGCAATTAACAAAATAACTTCAGTAGCAGCTGTTTCATAGTAATAAAAACACAAACTCTCACCACTGAGTGAACTTTGGGGAGTTTAATGTAAAACATTGAATCTTAACCTTTTTTTGTTTTGTTTTTTTAGTTAGTGCTTTGAGAATCTGACAAAAGCTGTCTGTCATCTGCCCAGAAAAATGTATGCAGACAGCCAAATTCTGCTGAAACATCAGAAGGCCCAGGGACCCAGATTCTCTGCTTCTCATTTTTGTTCCTCTTTCCACCTATTAGGCCTGTGTTTCCACTGAGGATTCCCTGGGGGCCCAGGCTATACACAGGGCAGCAATCACTGGGCAGAATGAAGCCATCCGATTCTTGGTTTCTGAACTTGGCATTGATGTAGATGTGAGAACAACATCAGCCCACCTCACAGCACTTCACTATGCAGCTAAGGTGTGTTTCTTTGCATAATGGTACTCTGCTTCCATAGGTTCGACTTGCATCATGGATGACTACTCTGTAGTCCTGTTGTTTGGCTCCATCTGTGAAAGCAAAAACTTGCCCGTGATATACTCCAGAGATGTTTGTGATTCTAAAGCCCTGTGGTCTTTTAAATAAAAACTCGCCTTTATGTGTCTCTACACAAAAACCTAAAAACACTTCACTTCATATAATCCTGGGCTTTTTATGCTCCCTCCTGTTTTTTGTTTTCAGGAATAATGTTATTTGAAGCTATGAAACTCCATTGTATGAAGTCCTAGCTCTCTCTCTCTGTACTGGATTTCTAAAACTAAGATGATTTCTTTTACTGCAGAAAGGGAATTGCATTTACTGGGCTCCCCAGTGTATAAAATATTTAAGACACGCAAAAAGCTTTCACTAGAAAGCTCCTTACACCCTTTTGTTTTAAATAGTGGGTGTCTGTTGCAAATTATCTTTACATTATTGGCTACCTGCCTTATTTTTCTTGCAACGGGAGTACATTTTTTTCTGGTGAGCTACACTCTCCTGCCTGCATTCTCCCTGGAGAAAGTGGACAGATGAGGAATTTTGTCTGTGGCCGTAGGGAAAAAAAAAAAGAAAGACTGACCCTGCAACCTTGATTTTAGTCCCACCACCTACTGACAGACTAACTGGCTAGACAAAAAGTGTGTAAATTGCCTTATAAGAACAGGGCTAGCTGTGATGAAAATCCTATCCAGGCATAGTTACCATCTTTTCTAGCTTATCTCTATCTTAAAGATTTTGGCAAAGAGTATGTTGCTTTGGAGATTATAGAATTGCGTGTTGTACATAAATCACAAGGTGTGTGTTCCTTACACTAAAATAAGTCCACCTGTGTTAGTTGATAACTTTCCCTGTAAAGTTAATTTTCTATATTCCAATAACTAACATCACCAAAACCTTTACTTAATGATTTCTACTGAAATTTAAGAGTGAGTCTTCTTTAGATGTGAAAATTCAGTTTTAGCAATTGAGTATTTTAGAAAAATTCTTTAATGTGCACTAGAGTTTGTGTTTAAAGGCTTGTTTTTGTCCTTGTCACAATGATAACAAGTATATTTCAACATTCAGGAAGGACATGTAAGCACAATTCAGATGCTCTTGTCCTTGGGTGCTGACATCAACTCCAAAGATGAAAGAAACCGATCAGGTATGGCTTTGTTTTCCATATGCCTTGGAAATTATTAGTAAATGAAATGTAAACAAGACATGGACTTTTATGTTAAGGACATTGGTTTTAATATTATTCTTCTAATAACCCAGCAAGTTTCGTGTAAAATAACATCTCTTCCATTGCAAAACTGTGGAGCTGTTGCTGTTGCTATGGCAGCGATGATGACCACTGCCTGTTACTGCTGCTCTTCTTGGGGCTTTCATTATTTTAAGCCACAACTAACATGACATAAAAATACTTGAACAACTTAATCCACGATGATGCCCACTGTTCAAGTATTATTAGAGTCTTCATAGATGGTCTTTCTTTGAAATGTGTTTAAAAACTAGTTTTTTAAATTTAAAGCTTAGAAAGATGTTTCCAGAGCTAATTTTTTAGACTTGGACTTTAGAATAAACCCGCCCATTAACATCCTATATACCTATGACCAGCATGCAAGGATTTAGTGGGATCATCATGACATGCCAAAGCCTCAGAGTAGCAGCTCACTCTCAGGCAGCAGAAAACAGCCACTTGTGCAGAGACCTGAGACTTTGTCCTGAAGATGGAAGCAGAACCAGAATCCTAGGGCTCACAGCACACCAGAAGCCTTCAGTGCTAAGTTCCAACCAGAACAGGAAGATTTGTCCACAGTTTTTCTTTTTGTCATATTGTTGTTACTCATGATGATATTTTTATTTACAGAGAGAATTCACAAAACTGAAAATGTATTCTGTACCGTTTAGTCTCCTATTTCTTACTAATTTGCTTTGTTGCTTTAGATAAGTCTCTTAAATTCTCCCCTTTTGGTTTTGTTTTTTTTTTAACCATTTCCTGGCAATCAGGTTAGTGGGAAAAATGTTTTGGTCCAGTATACATAGTCATAGGAATGAATTATGGAAATAGGAAATCTGGATAGTTGATGAAGTGTTATTAGGAGCAATCTGCTCAGTATTGCACTAGGGTCATGCACTGAGCTCCTGTGATTTCTGTTTCTGCTCAGCCCTGCATCTGGCCTGTGCGGGTCAGCATACAGCTTGTGTCAAGTTCCTTCTGCAGTCTGGGCTCAAGGACTCCCCAGATGTGACGGGCACCCTGGCTCAGCAGCTCACACAGAGCACAGACATCCTTCAGTGCTTCACCCACAGCATGATGGTGTGAGCATGTTTCTAAAAACGACGCTGAGATGCATGGAGTTCACATTCTGCTGCTGAGTTCTGATAACTTCAGTGCAACCAGTGGACAGTGTTCTGTCCCTGCCCTTCCCACGCCAGTCAAGAATTCCCCAATGATGAGTGGCCAGCTTCCTAGCTGTGTGACTGGCACATTCTCAGACCTGGACCACAATCGGGATCTTTCCATAATCTTGGTTTAACTTTTTCTACCGTTTCAGTAAATTAGATGATATTTGTGAAGTCAGTGTCTGGAATCCTTAAAGAAGCACCTGATTTGCCTGAATGTGGTACTGTATACATGCTTAACTATATTTGAAATACTTCATGATACCATATGGTAAGGCAATGGCAGTAACACTAAAAAGATAAGAAATTGCTATTAACCTGAGCCCTAAAACATAATTGGCCTGTTTGCTTTCTTCATTCATGGGCTTTTTCTCAGCCATTACAGTGGTTGAACTTTTGGTTTTGTAGCCGGGAAGGGAACGCTGATAATCTGTTTATATAGACATTTATAAGGAATTAGTGAAAACGTTTCTATATTCTAAGCACTCCTAACTAAGCTATAATGTTTTGATCTTGAGATTTTTATTTATATACACAAATTCTGTCCTGGCTCTTTTTAGGTAATAAAGATACCTAAAAAATGCATCCAAGATATTTTCCAGATGTTTCTGGTACCTCATTGAAGAATAGGACTTGTTCTTAAAACCTGCAGGTCCCATTTTTTGCACCATACCTCCTGAAACTCATGATTGTTAAGGAATGAACACTTGATGTTGTAACTTTAAAACAGATTGAAGATAGGTTGAGTCCTCGGGCATATGGATTCTTATCCCCTCTCCCCTTTTTCTTTTTATCATTTTTCTCTGAAATGCAAAGAACAGTTATTAGCCCAAGTTGATCTGTTAAAAAAGAGTATGCATCAGTCACAAGCAAGATTATCACTTGTTCAGTGTAAATCACAGGAATTTAGGACACACCTACCTTGTTTTCAGCATCATGTCAGGCTGGGTACATAGCAAGAATTTCCAGTCCCTCTTCATTATTCCCAGATGGTGCTGGCTGACTGCTGTTCCTAACAACCAAAAACATGTTCTGGTAGAAGCAGCTTGATTATGTCATCCTGTCTTACATCTAAGTCACACAGTGTCTACATCTACACTGATTTGATTTCCTGATGCCTTTGTGTCACTGCTTCTGGACCTGGTGCCTGCAGGCTGGGGAGATCAGTCCAGGGCCAGCTTCTGTTTCCCTGAAACATGTGTGATGCAGCTTTTGGTTTGTGGTGACTGCATGTGAGATCTCTTCACATCTGTAGATCTGCCTTACAAACCAGCAAAGGTTGGTATGAGGTCACCCTTTTGTTCCCGGCAGGCGCTTGGTTTGACATGTCCTTGTAACAGGCTGTGGCTGCCAAGGCTGCTCAAAGGTCAGAGAAAGCAGGGGTAACCACAGTGAAGTTAATGGTGGCAGAGATGGCAGTGATAACCTGCTGGCTGTCTGCTACTGTGATGACAGTGGGTTATGAATGACAATAACAGAATGATAATAATTAGCATTAATTGCCTTATTTCCTATTTAGGTACTTTCCTCACTTCCTCTGGGTCACCTTCTTGATGAGGCCCACCCAGGTCCCTGGATCTAAAACTTCATTCTCTCTATCCACATTTTAGATCTTTTTCCTGGGCTTATTTTTTCTCCTGAGCATTTACCAGTGTCAGATATAGTCTACATTTTGAGTAGCTTATTTTGTTACTGTCTGTCTCCCCCACTAGAATCTGTGCTCCTTGGACAGGGGTTTTGTCTTTCTTGTTTACTCTTAGCTGCAGGGCCAGAACAGTGCCTGGCACATAGTAAGGTTTAAAGTTATTACGTGGTCGCTGAGTGAGCAATAGTGTTTCTTGAGTACTTCCTTATCCCAGATACTGAGCTGAGTGCCTTCCCCGGATAGTCTCATTCCATCCCTCGGCCATCCACCATGCAGCCCCCCTAATTAATCCATTCAAGCATCCTTCTCACACAGGCTTCTTTAGGGAAGAGTCTGCTCAGCTCCCTGGACTCACTGCTCAGCCCACTGCTGCTCTGCAAACTCGTCTCAGTCACCAGTGACCTAGTTGTGCAAGCAAGCACTGCATTTTACCCTTGGGCCATTGGCCCTCACTGATTAATTGGATGCGGGATGTGGGAGGCATAGAAAGTCCAGTCTGGGCCTCAGTCAACAGAGGAACGGGATTGCCACCTGTGGAGTTAAGAAGATGAGGGTGGGGGCAGCAGGCTGAGAGGAGGATCAGGGTCGGGTGTGGATGTCTGTGAGTGCAAATCG